AAGGTTCCCGGCATCACTGGACCCTAAAAATAACGAACTTGGAAATGTCTAACTCCTTCTTTATTCTGTAAAATAACCAAATGAATACTGAAGAGTCTTCAAATTTGGGTAATCTACGGCTAATTTTTTTTTTAGAAGTTTGTTGAACACATCGATAAAGGCGAGTGCCTTATTCACTGTGCCACCCAAGCTGCTGCATTGTAGTATAATCCGTACTATTAGACAATATTTTTGTCAAGTCTCATTAGCCTGAGGAAATGGTAAGGAAACACTTGTTAATCTTTTCTCTTAAGAGTCACAATGTCTTTACCTTTTTTGGAAGGTTGGGGGGGGGGGACTTATTTACCTTCTATGTCTTTACCGTTTTTGGAAGGTTGGGGGGGGACTTATTTACCTTCTATAACACGCACAACTCATGTAACCAATAAACGCCAGTGTTACATGACCGCACATAGTGAATCTTTCTTTCGTGAACTTCAGTTGTTTTAAAATCATGAGAAGTGTATATGATAGACCATTTGAAACGAGTTATGTTACATATGATTGTTATGAACCGAACTTCTATGATGTTCATAGTCACACCGGGAAATATAAAATGAACCCAAACTAGTTTCGTGAATGTGTGACGTCATCTCATTGTTTTATAACGTCACTCATTAAAAATAAATGTGAATAGTAAACAAAGTAAAAATAAGATTGATATCGCCTTTTTCTTTTATTGTAAATGCCTTATATACTGCGCAATGTTAGAGGGGGGAATAAAAGCATTAAAACACTCAACTACAATAATAAGATGTCATTACACATATTTGACCATGGTGAAATACACGCTTTATAATATAACATCGCTTATTTATACACACTCGCGTTCCTCATATATATATTTGTGCTCTTTTACCGAATTTACCGTATTTCACAAGTCATATAATACATTTGGAATATGTTAATATCACGAAATAATCAGCAAACAGTCTGGGACATGGCTCAGTAGTGCAAGTGATCAGCCAACAATTGAGGTTCCTGCAGGTATGGCGTAAGAATTGTACCTGCTTCCCACATCGCATGATCGTATGAGGCGACTAAATTTGGGATCTTATCTTTTCTCTTCTTTCTAAACAAGTTCCTTCTTCCTAATGTCTCCCTTGACAATGCCTCATTTTTGGCTTTTAGTTGAGCGTTCGCCCCTGTAATAGAGGCTTTGGGTTCTGTCCCCTGGCCGAGACATACAAGAGTCTTTAAAAATGGTAGTTTCTACTCCTGCTTAACGCTTAGCAATTTAGGAGTGAGACGACTGATTCGCCCGTTTTCAGTATAATGTGACCGGGTGTGGAACCCTGCTGGATGACTTCGGCAGTATGTTTCAGTGAGGTAGCACTATAAAGTCGGCATCAGTTCCGCGCTATCACAAGGAGACAAACACGAACATATCGCAGTCTCCCAGAACACACACCCATACACTACACGCATGCATCATGCAAACAGGGGATGCCGTTTTTAAATTACCATAGTTGTTGATACGTGTAGGACGTTAAACAATACTAAACCAAACCAGCCAACAATTGAACGCAGAGCTCATTTGTAGAGATAATAAAGTGATTATTTAACAGTTTTGTCACGGTTCATTAGGTAACACCATACATTTACATACTGTCAATTTCGAATCACTAATGTTTTCAAATTTTTGTATTATAAGTATTCAACCACTAACTAAAGTTACAATTTTCAGAATTGTCACTAACCGGTTAAGTAATATGTTTCCTTGGTTTTCAAATGAAGAGAGTAAACGATTTAACTTTATAATTTGAAACAGGGCTCTGCTATCCTACCTGAGAGCAGTAACACGTTGAGTGATTAACGTTAGTCAGACGTGTACATAACTATGTCACATTAACATAGATCAGACAAGCATCAGTTCCCTGATTAACGACTTCCCTGGTTGTACTGACATGTATTGTTATAAATGCTATCAAATCCTAACACCCATTCTTTTATTTCTTTAACAATCCATGCCAAAACTGTTTGGTGCTTCATCTGCTTCATTAACCTAGCTTAGTCTGACTGTGATATATGAACGGTATACGTTCATTAAATGTCATTTGTTATGAAGCATTATTTGTATTTTGTTTTAAGGATATCCGCTTCTGAAAGGTCAAAGACTTCCTGTATCAAACGTTTTTTCATATATGCATTTTTGGAAAAAGGAGATGATGTCATAAAAGAACATAAAAAAAAAACTATGTGTCAGTGTGTTGGTTTTTGTGCTATGATCGGTCAAAGATACCAATTTAACATAATATTATACGTCTGTACGATTTTAGGTGATTTTTGTATTGCTGTTGACCATTCGCAGAACAATTCATAAAGTATCATCCAAGTGTGTTATCAGATAAGTATGAATGCAGAATTGATAACAATTGCATTTTCGTCAACATTATAAAAGTAAAAATTCTTGATCTTAATCTTTTTACTCAGACAAAACCGATTTTAGTTAACTATACCACTGATTTTGTTAATAAAAATACTCTCTTTTTTACCATTTGTTTTCATGTTTTACGCTAGATATAAAGAGTTCTGCTATTAAACTTTTTTTTAATATTAAATGAATCAAAAGAAAACACGTGTCTCTTTTTAAAACAGGTACAAAAAATGGGGGGATGCGTGTGCTCCTTTTTTTGTGTAATTTTCACCTATTTTTGTGGTCAAAAACCAAAAGTGCTTCGCTTCCACTAAATATGTAACAATAAAACAAAAATGTTTAATTTTCAACTTCGCTAAATTGTAGCGACACAATGACGATTGAAATTATCAAAATAAAAAGGTATAGTTTTGGCCCTTCGTAAAGCTCAAGAAATACACATTTTTTGTACACATTTTTCAGATATATGTTTGCATTTAAAAGGATCTTAATAAATATTACAAAACCCCGTTACAAGAGATCAAAACGAGACTTAAACGTGATTTAAACCTTAGGAGAGTACGTCATTAAAAATAACTGCGGTTTCAACACATGTGGACGATATCTGAACTCAAATATATAAACGCCAAAATACATATCTTTAAACAAATCAACCACCTCATAAAAACCGGATGCAAAATAAAAGCACACGGCAATTCACAGCGTGTGTAACATAGCTTGTAGCACCCACCACACAATGTGTCTATATCTACGGCCAAACAGGGAGCGGGGCATCCATATCCTAAAATTTCTATAGTTTAAAAAAAAAATATTCACCAACAGTTTTTGATTAAGTAAAGCCTTACTATCATGATTTTTTTAAATAAAATTTCTTTGTATTTTCCTGTGATATATACTGAGGTTTTAGGATCCGTTCTTTAGTGTCCCCTTTAGTTTGATTGTCATTCTCACGGCTTGCACTTTCAGGACGTGACATCACCAGAACTGTGACCAGATTTACATCGAACGTGTCGTCGATACTTAGACAACGCTCACCATTGTGGTACAACCGGTCTTATTATCCTTGTACTTTTTCAAGGGTCAATGTCAATCTTGATTTGTTTATATTCTGCACTAGGTGAATCGACATTTAGTTCGAATTACAGTTTTGTTGACATCTTACTATCCCCGTGTTTCCAATAAGTTTCAAAACATCGACACATTCTTTTCATTGATGAACACTTTAACGGACCTTTGGGATTCGGAGGTAATTTTAAATATGTTACTTTCAACGTTCAAATTTAGCGGTAGTCGTATTTTTGCGCCTTTCGCGCTTTAAGTATTGCATTTAAATGTCAATGCGGCAATAGTAACCCATGCATGTTGTTCTCTATCGGAAAAAGTGTGGGTGCTCCAATTCATCAATATGCTTATGTGCTAAAATTTGATAATGCGCTAAAATTTGTGTGCGCTTGAATAAGTATGTTAACAGTATATGGTTTATCTTGTCGATGTTTGATAATTGATTATTATTTTCTACTATTTATACCTTTGATGGTGATAACTTATTGAATATACAAATCATATTAATGACATAATTCATTTACCTCTTTTGTCGAGTCGTTCCAGGAAATATGCAGGGAATCTAATTTATTTTAGATACAATCTATATTGTTGTCGAATGGTATTAACTTAATGGGTCAGCCGAGCGTTATCACACCCTATATTATTTACATAACGCCTTTCGCACTTCAAATATAATTCATTGATATTATTGAGAATTTTCCTGGATTTTGTGTAGCTCGTCCAAAGTGTGATAATAAGCGAAGTGACATTTGGTGTTTCGCTTTATGTGAAGTATGACCTTGCGGTTCACTTTTTTTTGTACGAAAAAAAACCCCTCTCGTTTGGAAGATTTACATTCTCGAAATCTTATCTTAATGTCTTACAGTAGAAAAAATGAAAGACGGTACCAAAGTGTGAAAAATTCAGAAACCAGACTTAATTCTATTGAAGTCGGGTAAAATATGAATAAAAGTAAGTTTGACCATTGACTGTTACTTGTCATTTGAGATTAATTACACTGTAGGACCATTGGTAAACGACGCGGTCAGTTTACGTTCTGCCTTTGGCTTACGCAAGCCAATTGGCTTATAGTTTTTAACTATTAGTTCATATCCTATTATTTCTTTATTTTGTTTTTATGTAATGTAAGTGTTCTGTGTTTTTCGGTGCCTCCGAAAATTTGACAACCTAATATTGTCTATACTGTTTGAAATACTTCTTTACCCATATATGTATATAGCGCATTATCAAAATTAAAACTCAAAGAATGAAACAAGAAGAGAAACCCCTAATAGATGAGACAACGAAGCAAAAAGACTGCCGTAATGAATTATAAAAAGGTCAAAGCCTGGTGTTTCGGAAGTGATACATTTGTAAGGGGTTTTTTCCGGCATCATAGGTTACAGCAGTCATACAATTCATGTAAACAGACGAATAGAACCAAAATATTCATGAATTTTACTTGGCAATTCGTTTTCTTTCTTGGTTTTTATAATAGTATTTATAATCCAATCTTCCTCCTTTTAAAACAAACAATGACTTATGGTTATTATTATATTCACAATACTTTCTTATCAAGAAATAACACAATGCTAAAAACTCACTCCTTGCCCGAGAAAGCAATTGGTGCTGTGTAACCGGCTATGTCGTCAGTTATAACAGGATTTTACAGAATAGTACATTAATCCTATATTTTGATTTTCAAATCAACCGAAAAGAGTTCCCACAAAGTTCCTGAGTACCCTTCCTAACCCATTCCGTCGACGACGTCGTGTTCCTTGATGAGGTTGAACAACGTTTACGGCATTGTTTCTAGCCCGTAGTCTGATAAGACCTTCCCGTTCACGGGTTCCATCGAGCCTTTCTACTCCACCTCTTCGTCGATTCACTAGATCAACAGGAATATCACCAAGTCTGGATTGGCGATGCTGTCTGTTGTCAACGTGTCCGTTTCCGTGTCCGTGTTCATGTCCGTGTTCATGTCCGTCAATTCTCCGTCCGTTTTGGTTTCTACCCCGTGTCTGAATTCCATCTGTTAATACCCTGGTCATATCTATAGGTCTACCTAAAGGATCGATCCGTGTACGATCTTGTCGGTTATTTCTATTACGGATTCTTTCTTGCCGAACTCCACCAGTTGCTATACCTTCAACACCGACCCCATTCGGTTCTCTACGAAGCAAACGTAGCTCTGCATCTGTTATACTCTGCTCTAAACCGACATCAGGTTCTCCACCAGATATTCCTAACTCTCCTAGAGGTATCCTTTCCTGAACACCAGTGCGCATGTCTTGCTGACCTCCACCGACACCATTAGGTTGTCGACCGCGCCTGTTTCGTCGATCTCTGCGAGATGCTATTCTATTTTGTCCAATACTGCCATGATTATGCCCTTCATGACCAGTTCGTTCAATATTTCGGCCTGCTAGACCATTTGGATTGACAAGTTGTCCATTTCGTCTGTCTCCATTGATACTACCTCTTAAACCGATAGGATCCCGAGGACGAAGGCGTTGTAATCTGGATCTTCCTCGTCGTGGCTGAACTGGATCACTGGTACGTGGATCCGTTCTAGGACCAAGTGATGCAGCTGCAGTCGCTCTTTGGTTATGTTGTGTTATAAAATCGCGACTGTTGCTACGGAGCATAGATTCCAAACGGGAAGGATTTAAACCTTTTGCTGTCCACCTTGTTCGTATACTCCTCAGTTGGTCTGCCGTCAAAAGGTCACGAACTGTTCCAACCGAACCGCTGTTTGTTACTGGAAGGTTCGTTTGCCTTACTGGAGGAATATGCGTATCTACAACAGTAAACGTCAATATACCGTAAAATATTCTAAAAATCAACATAAAATATTTTGCATGTTCGTCCAAAGCACATGTAGATGTTTATTGGTTTTTTTTACTCGCTGCTTCGTTTTGTATTCACTCAATGTTCGAATATATACTTCAGTAATGACTGGATATGAATGGCATAAAAGTGTATGAACTGTTAGTGGTTAATTTCATTATTTTCAAAGGATATCTTACACACACGGCTAAGCTGTGGATCCTCCAGAGATACTCTGAAATGTATACTTATCAATACAGTATACCTATATAATTATACCTACTTTCTGACATTGAAGAGCTAACTTATACAGATCAATATTTTTCACTCGGTGTTACTCTCCTCAAATAATGCATTCATCACACTACCAATATGCGCGTAAACAGTATCGTCATTTTTATATCAGTCTCATTTAATATGCCTCTGTATGTCAAACTGACAATAAAAGACCATATAATGAATTGGTGTACGTTTATATAAGTTCGTTGGCAAAACGGAGAAAAAAATCTGTGTCTGTATGATAGAAAATATAATCCAGATTCGAAAATGATGAAAAATAGTTAACAAAGGCCAGTTGATCATTGTTTATAATATGTATCAACATTTTGCATCCTCATTATATATATAAATTCCATATATCCACTAATATTTCGATACTCTATCACTAGAAGTCTTCTTTGTAGTTCATATTCGCATAGTATTTATTTCCGAGTAAATTCTCTTTCAGTTAAGCATTAATTCGACTTTAGATATAACGCAAACAGTTACTTTTCATTATATAAAATCAATGACTGAAGTAAAAGCGAAAAGATACAGAAAGTCTACTTCCCTAAAGTGTGCGGCATATAGATAAACAAAGTAAAATTAAATTTAAATACAACATGTCAAAGTTTAACCAGGTAGCATTACGATTAATGTACATGTATGACCAAATATGTGTAGCTTTATAATCATATGTTTGTGGAACAAGGTATTTAATAACCACAACTTGCCCCAAAAAAATATTCACGCTTAAACGGTAAAATGCATATCAACACACCAATAATTTATATGAGCATACGATGTTTTGCACAAAAAACTTTAACTGTAAGGCATTATACGTCGAACGATTTTGCTCAATATTTTTTTACGTTTTCTTTGCCAAACAAATGTCCGACCACTTACATTTAACAGACCATGCTTTTATTTAAACTATTTTCTCACTATATAATAAGTCTTTTATTTCTTTTAGTGGCACAGCGTCTACAGGGCTTATTATATAGTCATGCATCATTAGGTACGTATTTAAACCAGACGAACAAGCTTAAATCAACTACATTGATGAACACGCCATCGTTTTGTTTGTTTGTTAATCCATGATGATATTTTGACCTGTCAAGATCAATATTTTCGACTAATATTGAAATTGCAGAAAGAAGTTTGTTCAAGTGCTCTGTGTTATTAAAATGTCAGATAAAGAAGCGATACTCTGGTTTGAGGAAACTGCATCATGATATAATCTTAAAAATTACAAAAATCACTAAAATACGAAAGAAGGGAACACTTTTGTCAAACTGTAGTATGTCGATTGAGAAAAACCAAAATGGTAGTAATTTTTTGCTGCACCGTATGTCAAGATCAGTGGTACCAAAGGTGGAGAGAATAACAACCACACATAGGGGAAAAATGTGCCAAAAGAGCTATTCATCACATATCTGACCCGTTTTACTATGGCAGACAACCATGTCCTAAATATGGTAATGCACACGTGTAATTAACCCTGAAGGTGCTGCTATTGGTCCGTGAGAACATATACCTACGCCACTACAGGTTCTATACCACATAATACATTTACTGTATTTTTAAATGAATTTAAAACGTTTATTTTTTCATTATTATTTTCATTGCATTTAATAGTATTCAGTACTTTTAATACAAATCTGGAACGAACTACTTTGCACTGCGCGGAACTACAATACTATGATTTATTTTTGACCCATAAAGAGTCAGTTGAAAATTGTAGTTTTTTTTCAGTTATGAATGTTATATGAAAGATATATATTATATTCATGTCAATGTCATATTGAATTGATTAAACACGTTCATCAGTTAATATGACACTCGCCTAAAGGCTCTTGTCATATCAAAGTATCGATCTCGTTAAATAAACTCAGTATGACATGGAAACTCATGTAAGATGTTTTATTTAAATGTAAAGATATATGAAAAAGATAATATAACATATAATTTACATTTAAACTAGTATTTCGTGTAAACTGTACGAGCATGAAGTTCAGATACAAGGTCACAGTTAACCTCGGCGACTGAAAGTCTATCGCAGTCAACCTCCTTGTGACGTAAACAATATTTAGAAATACGGCAAAGGGTCAACTTTCTTGAAAGTTATTATGTAGATGCAATAGGCCAAAGATATAATATATAAAAGCTATAAAACAAGAAACAGAATTGTCTCCGATAAAACAATAAGGAACTGTAAACTGTGAGTTATTGTGACATATACATAATTGATCGAAGTATTTAATTTTGCACTTACCTGTAACATGGATAAAACATAGTGCTATTAAACACACTAAAAGTGACTGTCCACTAGTCAGTATAGACATCGCGATCTCTTAACAGGCTCCTGGTCTTCCCAAATGAAAACTAAACATACAGAAAACAAACTAAGAAAATGTTCTGTTTAAGGAGTGAATCTGACATCCTCCGTTATACCCTCACATGAACGTCATCACTTTGCGGATCTATCATCGTTGGTTTTCACGGTAAGTTAAGTTTTCTCACTCAAAGTATTGTCTGTTTTCTTTGCTTAATTAGATATTGGTAAAACTTGGAAATAGTCATATTCAGATATTGCACACGTTAGTACATTTTTATAACAACTTGAAACTTACGTGCCCACAATATTTACATGATTCCAATGAGCATCTGCAGTTCCGCCGAGACTCGTCATTTTCGCCTGGTTTTACGTAAAGATCACAAACAGTACAAGGTAACTCACTTAATTACGTCTTATATCATACGGTTATGAATTAGGTTGAGATGCCAGTTTATTTCCGTCTACAATGAAGATAATTTGTATTGAAATATATGAAAACAAGACCGCGATAAGTCTTTATGTATCCATACCATGCTAGAACATGGGACAACAAAAATCGTAATACAACCCTGTGCATTTAGCATATATAAGACCTTATCAATATAAACACTTTTAATGTCTTGATTTAAGATCTTAATAATTTGATTTGCTAATAAAAAACATCTGATTCATAATTATCGTTTTTCATGCTAATGTGAATTAAATTTCGTCAGTAAAACATTTTGGACCTTTGGTCTTTTTTTGTAATAATGTAAGACGATTTCAAATTATTAAACAGTTTATCAAGATTTTTTTTAGATAGAAGACATGTGATATCAATTAATTGATTAATTTATATATTTATTTATTTGTTATTTTATACGACGGAAAAGAATATCATTGTCTCAAATGTACAACAACAAAATATTCAATTGTCGTTTATATGGCGTTAGTATTTCCATTTCTTTTAATTACAAAGTTTGAAGAACAATTTGTCTGCGATGGGATCCAGTTCATATCTGACCGAATGGCCTTAATTTTGTAGAAACCGCTTCATATTAATTATAACAATTGGTGATTCGATAATACATTTTGAAACTAATATAATTTCATAACAATACACATAAAATTGTATTTCAGGCTATATATATTTCCACTATCATTTTACAGTATGTATGCACTGTATATTTTCAGGAGAGGGCTTTTATAGGCTTTGCTTGTTGCCTAATTTCTTTTGAAGTTAATACCTTTACAATAACATATTCTTGCCTTATGCTTTCAAACCCTATCGTAGGGTTACCTTGCACAGTTGTGGTAGGCTGCATCAGGCTTTGCACAAGTTATTGTCCCCATCTGTCGTCTTGCTTTATACGCCATGCTTTATACGTGGTTTAAGATTAATACGGTAAATGGTTACTTTTTAGCTCACCTGGCCCGAAAGACCATGGTGAGCTTATGCCATACCGCAGGGTCTGTCATCAGTTCGTCCGTCCGTCAAACTTTTACTTAAAAAATGATACTTGTCCTGAACGGGACAATAGACTTTGACCAAATTTTGTCTCGAGCATCTTTAGGCCATGAAGACTCAATTTTGTATGAACGGCCCTCCTGGGGGTAGAGGGGCGGGGCGCAATAGGAGAACACAGAACATTCTTCAAAATCCGTCTTTTTCTTCAGGAATGACAGGAATTTGTCCAAATTTGGTATGAAGTACCCTTGGGTGAAGGGGAACCAATTTGGTATAAACGGTGGGTCTGAGCACCCGTGGAGCAGAGAGGCAGCGCCTAATGACGGAAATAGAGGAATAGCTTTAAAACCCTGTGCATCTGTAGGAATGACAGGATTTTGTCAATATTTGGTCTTAAGCCTCATTGGGTGAAAGGGACTTAATTTTATATAAACGGTGGGTCTGTCCCTCTGGGAGCAGAGAAGCGGGGCCTAATAAAGGATACAGAAGAATAGTTTTAATATCCTTTTTCTTCCGTTGGGATGAAGATATGTTGACCAAATTTAAACAGTAGCATTTCAAGGGGAAGGAAAATCAATTTTGTTTAAATGGTGGGTCTGACCCCCTTGTGGTCTGAGGGATGGGGCCCAATAGGGTTCATTTCGCAAATGCTTTAAAATTCTTCTTGATCGGATTTTGTCCATATTTGGTTGTTATCATCCTTTGGTGAAAGGGAATTAATTTTGTATAAATAATAGGTCTGATACAAAATTGGTTACCCTTCACCCAAGGGTGCTTCATACTAAATTGTCCCTTTGTGCAGAGGGGCGGGGCTCAATAGGGGAACATAGAAAATTCTTCAAAATTCTTCTTTTTCTGTAGGAATGACAGGATTGTGTCCTTGAGAAGCATCCTTGGGCGAAGGGGAATTAATTTTGTAGAAACGGGTCTGAGCACCTGTGGGGCAGAGTGACAGCGCCCAATGACTGAAATAGAGGAATAGCTTTAATATCCTTTTTCTTCTGTTGGGATGAAGGTATTTTGACCAAATGTGAACAGTAGCATCCTTTGGGGAATGGAAATCAATTTTGTATAAATGGTTAGTTTGAACCACATCAGCTGTTAAAAGGACGTTAAACCAAATTAAACCAAACCAAACCAAACCCCTGTATGTAATACAGTGCGTGTTGCAGCTGTCTGGGTTGGGTCAATTATATAGCTACCAGACTGAATATATGTATCAATATTTTGGGTTTCTCTATATAAATGTATAGCTAGTGGCACACGTACACGTATATATAGATACATGGATGATCGATAGACATTTCAAGTTGAATAAGAAACAATATAATTACGATGAGTATTGTCTCAGTTTATTTTCTTTAATAAGAATAATACAATAAACTTAACATATCCATACAAACACACGCATATACACACAAACACAGACATACACAAATATGTATTTATATAAGAAAATAAATATTATCCTCCATTCACAATTTCTATGATTAAAGTATGCGTATTTGTTGCTTGCGCGTGCAGGTATCAGTTCTTTAAAGTCACCTTTATTGAACTTTCTGCGTAATTGGTACTTAAATAATGTCATAATGAACATAATACTTCGTACAGTTGTATGTACTGGAAAATTGTTAATTTATCAAAGGAAATGTTATTCACTGAAATAATCAATTTCCAGTGTTACATATGACAAAAAATAGGGGCAGATAGTCTTTTTTAATGTTATACCTGATTTCGGGATTTTGGAGTATGCATTATTGCATATTTGTTCAGGTTTTGAGAGATGAACGCAATACACACACATATGGGTGATTGAACTTTTTAAAATTTGGTAAATGATACAGTATGTAAAAAAGAATTGAACTGTGTCAAAATCCAAACATATATTCAGTTTACAACGTTGCACAAACCAATAAATAAACAATAGTATACACAGGGCTGAGGAACAGTACATGGATAAACAAGCATAATAAATTATAACACACGCTGATCGAAAAGATACAATAGTTGCAAATTAGAAATACATAATAAATGATATATACTAATTAAAATGTAGCTAATACGTGTCTTAATAACTCTTTCCATGATTTTTACGTTTTATCTGTGAGTAAACGAGTTGACTGAAGATATTCTCCGATGGAATCAAAAATTATTTTAGGACCAATGAACTAGAGCAAAATAACTAAGGGAGATAATCATCTTAAGCAGACAATACATATACAGTATATATACGCATACATGTATGATAATTTTATCATTTCGATTCAGAGATATTCAATTACATGACATCACCAATATGTGAATACACATTTCAAAATAAACATCTTAATCTGAAAGCAAATCATTTTAAATAATCCTTCCAATTTTGACACATGGTGAGATTTAAAAAAAAACATTAAATACTCAGCTGATTCTACTTTCCCAACAGCATGGCCCCAATCCCTCCCAATAAAACACCTTTCACTAGAGAGTGCAGCTTGTTCTGTTTCTGCTGTACGGGAGGATGATGAGGCGGTGGATGATTAGCGTCTGTTATCTGCAATAATGTGTCTCCACCGTGAAGGTGAGAGTCATGCAAACCTGCTGTTGCTAATATATGTTCTTTGTTCAAAGCATTGTTGACTAGGATTGTATCTACAATATTTTGCTTATTATTCAAAGCATCGTTGATCAAAATTTTCTCTGCAAGATGATGATCAGGTTGAAAAGGTAAAATGGGTTCTGGTACAGGAATAACATCCAGTGCTCCACCGATTATTGCGGCTTGTTTAGCAGCTTTTTGGAGACGCTTACGCTGTTTTTTAGCCTTTTTCATTGCCTTTCTCTTCTGCTTGGCGATATTTTTATTGGTATTTAATGCGTTGTTGATTAAAATGTTCTCAGCAATTGGGTGAGCTTGATGAAGGGGTAAAATTGGGGCTTGTACACTAAGTATATCAAGTGGCCCGCCAACGGCAATTCCTTGTCTCATACGTTTTTGTTGCTTCCTTATCTGCTTCCTTGCCTTTTTTTCCTTTCTTGATTGTCTTCGGGCTTTGCGCAGTCCCTTTTTTATTTGTCTGTTTTGTCGCAATGCTTCCTTTGTTCCAATAGCTTTATTGCGATTGATTAGACCCCTTGTAGCTGGGTCCAAAAGAGGACGTCGAGATCCAATTCCAGCTGGTAAAATTCCTTGGTGGTCATGTAACAACGTATCGAGTGGACCCTGACCAAAAAGTGGGTCAACCAATCCAGAATTTAAAAGATCTCCGTGGATTTGGGCACGAGATCCAATTCCAGCTGGTAAAATTCCTTGGTGGTCATGTAACAACGTATCGAGTGGACCCTGACCAAAAAGTGGGTCAACCAAACCAGGATTTAAAATGTCTCCGTGGATGGGGTTACGAGATCCAATTCCAGCTGGTAAAATTCCTTGGTGGTCATGTAACAACGTATCGAGTGAACCCTGACCAAAAAGTGGGTCAACAAAACCAGGATTTAAAATATCTCCGTGGATGGGGTTACGAGATCCAATTCCAGCTGGTAAATTTCCTTGGTGGTCATGTAACAACGTATCAAGTGGACCTTGACCCAAAAGTGGGTCAACAAACCCAGGATTTAAAAGATCTGTGTGGACGGGGGCAAATTCCGAAACTGGCAATGCCAGGGATAAGAGCGGATCTCTGTTGAGTTTACGCCTTGCTTTATTTCGCAGTCTCTTTTGCTTTCTTGGTGAAATGTCTGTTTGTAGTAATTCTGCATATATACCTATAAAACATAAAGAAAAAGATGATGAGTTAAAATTGGTGGGAGTTTTTTAATGTTCACGTAAATGAACAATTATAGTTTTAAAATATGAAATATGCATTTCAGCTATAAAAGCAAATGGAGAAAAATGATACATTTTCAATCAAGTGTCAATAATCTAGCTATTTTAATTAAAAAATCTGTGTGATCAATCTTATATATAATTCAGTTTAATAACATTCTGACATAACTTCTTTTTAAACTGAGTACATTTTACCTATGGCAATATATCGGGATATGGATTGCAATATAGTTGTTCAGTATCGCAATACAGCGCAAACACTCCAGGCGTATTTTGACACCCCTAATTAGAACACTGACGCGTCAGAGCGGGCCCGCCGACAGCATGTCGTTAACCAGCAGTACATGCACAACACATTCGTCAGAATAGTGTAAGTATTTCCTGTTGGGGTAACAATTAAACAATAAACTAATGATTATTGCTATACCTTTCTGCGCGTTATGTATTAAACTCAGTGCGCATATGAAGTACCTAGTCTAATTGTTTTATTGTTGGTGTTGTATATTCAGGATAAAAACTTATATCAGAGCAACTCTCACCTTTTCTATCAAAGTTTGTCCGAATTGCCTAAAAGATATTTGTTTTCAACTTCATATTTCCATAGATCAATCCTATATCAGAAAAAGCTATAATGATTTGAATCACAATTACAATGTTAGAGTAGATGTTTAATTACCTACACCACTCTTCTTTTGAAATTGATTTATCGCCCAATTAGCAAATGGAATTGCTGTGTGCTCCTCAAGCTTCGGATTTCAGTAAAACACGTAGCCATCGTGACTGAGTAGAATAGTTGGTGACCAATTTTCATTCCCGGTTATGTTTTCTGATATTATTTAATAGAGATGTTCTTAGTTCGATTTCAGCCTAAGTCGACAGCATTTCTAACGGAAACAGATAATACCTAAGCATGCTACCGTGCGGAAACGAAAAGCAGACTGGCGGACAGTCAATGTGTTCACTGTGTAATACAAGTCATCAACTCTGTTACATGTATAATAAAATATACACAACCTCTCACGTGTATACCAGTAGGGGATCGTCATGTGACTTAGACCATCATAGCATACACAATGTATTGATGGCGATGTTATTGGCAACGCATTAATCGCTCAGACATAGGTCAATGACAAAGGTTGCTGTGAGCGACCCATTAGTGATTGAGTGTTTTATGTGTAGTGACCATTGTCCATCACGTGTACGACTTGTGTAAAGCACCATAGTGTTAAGATAAAGCGATAACGTGTCTTATGTAGTCTTCTATAATCCCACTACATGAACCGATTGTTGTATTTTCTTGTTTAAATCTTTCTAATCTTTCATCAACGAGATATTTAAATTTTGTTATCTACAATTCTTATGAAATTCTAGCAATTTAAATTAAAACTGATGGTATTCGGAAATTATTTATGATAATTTTCAAATGTTGCCCACGATTACTTGTACGGAACAAACGATTTACAGATAAACAATCGGCCAAACAGCACTAGGCGAATTCAACATACATATATATAAAGTACATTTAATTGTAAATCTTCTTTAAGCATACTTTTCTCTGGTATAGGTATGACTTCAAATGGAAACATTTTATATAAATTAGCCTCAATAAATACTTACAGGGTATCAGGCAGACGGCAAAAACTGATAGTATTACATGTCTCATTTTGTTCTGAAGGATTTCTGAAAGAGAATCAAAATAACTTTTAACAAATAAAATGCTATCGGGGAATTCCTCTAGCTCCGAGATTACGTTCATCTCGGAAGTGATCATAATGCTTTCAATCAGCACAATGGACCATGCAAGTTATTAGCTTTTGTGATATCCTCCGATTGATAAACGTCGAATATTAAAGATTTTATGAGATAAACATGATTCTTTAGATAGATAAACAGACATATACGTAATTGGTTGTAATGTGCCATCAGCACAAGGCATGCTACATTTGTGTACCTGTAAACCTAAAACGCAATAAAACTGATAGATAAATACCATCAAACCTATAAAACTCAAGTCCATAGGAGATCAGCGATAATCTCCAGAGATTGAACAATAAATATATAATTAATAGCAAGTAACGTTTTATTATCACTGCAATCTTTCGGACTTACGTTTTTATGTAAAACGGGTTTTACAATCTTACATTGCATTGTGGATATTTAAGTAAAAAAAAACGTATTTTGATATTTTATATGGTATAAAAGAAATTATATGTAACTTAATGGCTTTTAGTGCATACATCAGGTGTACTGCAAAAGATAATAACAGGAAATGAAGATATACCGCTGGAGAAAAATGTAATCATAAAACAAGGAGGGCGAAACCAGGTGCCCCGAAAAGGTCCTGTAACATAGTTTATACTTAAGAATGGAACAGCAATGCGACCTCCATAAAGGATTGGTTTCAATGTTAGCATTCAGCCTGGCCTTGCTTTACTGGTTTTGGAGAATTAGATTTATGAAAATGATCGATAAACATAGAAAATGAAATTGCATTCGTCGTATTTTTTCCCCTCGGGTGTGTTTTCGTAAATCAATAGTGTATTATGCTCTAGGTGTTTTATCACGTTTTAATATTGAAAAGTAAACAGTTAAACAAACAACGCCATAAACCTACGAGATGGTAATCGCTACTTCAGGAATGTTTCCGAATTGGATGTCAATCAAAACATATATGTCTCAGAGGAAATATACTTAACGTAATAGCAGGAGACGAGAACACAAACTGATTGCTTACATATCCGCAAGGGGAAGATCTCATACGTTTATAAGTTTTAGCTAGAATTTGTTTCCGTAACATGACACCCACAGCGAGCAAAACAATTACCACGCAGCCATTTTGATATGATTTAACTTGCAGCCTTAAGGATTTTCGTAACGCCAAACCGAATGAAATACTATTAAAAGTCTTTTCAAGACTTACATACTACCATATAGCCATATTAAAGTGAAACTCCTTATTAACGTAGGCACAAATATAGCTGGTGAAGGCTGGAAAGCTGTTTACATGGTAATAAAACATTAATCTACAAACCAAACACGTGACAATATCACATAAAGTTCCAGGCTTGTGTTCTAACAAAAAACAGCTTATACTTATTAAGATACAATGAACGTACTTAAAAACGTTTTTTGTTAGATTAAAAAGCATAAACAGGCATTGGCGACGGACATGCCTGTCTATCTCATGTAAACAATACACCAGAAAGGTCGGCTAGTACTCGTTAACTGAGTCTCTACGTCACCTTTAATTGAGGATATATAAAAATATGTTGTATTCGTTACTATACAACTGAAAAACTAATACAGTGAAAACGTTAGTGCAAAATGTAACGTCTTCTTTCGTCAATTAACTCGTTTTTGTTATATAATTAATTTGCGTTTTGTCAAGTTATCTTTAAATATATTCTTATTATAAGTTTGAGTAACTTTCGGCGAATCGTTAGCCACAATCAAACAAAAACAATATAAAGCGTTGCTTGTTTGAAAGAATATATCGTGATATGCTACAATGATATCCTTACGCCAACACCACATTTCAAAAATATACATTGTATACAGTATGTCTCAAACTCATAATCATATATATATTATCATATATTACAAGTAAGCGTATGCACTGACCGTAAATAATTGTAAATATCATAAAACATCAACTTACCAGGGTTGTACAATAACTTAAATCTTATTGATATAGAAGGAACGTTGCTTGGCTGATGGAAGCTTATTGGCTTTGTCTTTCACAAAATCACAACTCGTTCCTTTATACCAATTGTTAGGGAAATGATATATCCATCATAGTTCCTTATCGGTGTCTAGTGACGTAAACCTACATCTATTTTGGACACCATGGGTGACCACTGATCATTGGTCAGTAGCTACCTTTACATTGACGTAAGTAAGATATGCATGGCCGATTCAATGCGTCAATCATTGTATACACCAATGGCTGAGATTTGACACTATGTATTAACCTCGGTCGTTACTCGGCCATTAAATTGTGGTCGGAGCACTGGTCAAGTGTGTCAGCTCTATCATGCCTAGCAGAGGTTCTCAAACAAGTGTCTGACGCTTACCGTGGTTAAGTCATTCCCGTTTGTCAAATCATTTCAGGAGAAACAGACAATTTTTAGTAGGATGCATCTTCATTTTCTATTTTTGCAACATTTAGGTCTATATTTTTCTTCCCTGCTTTCTTTCGGTGGTGTCCCCTATGCACCTGTCCATAAATGGAATTAGCTATTTGCTGTAGCGAAGCGTTTATCCTTAATCGAACAAGCAAACCAACTAACAAACAAAATAAGAAAGAAATCATGAAACAGGAAGTGGAATGTGGAATCCGTCATGATTCATCTCGTAGAATCCAGAGCCGGTATGACATTCTTATTTAAATTGTATTTGAAAATCGTATGAGATTTTGAACATGTAGTCTACATTGTAAATTTTTAATAACCTACTGTATGGCGGGAAATGTTCGTCGCAGATTAACTTTCGCACAAATTCAGCCCTCATAATGAGGAGGAATAATCGCGACAGTAAAAGTAAGTACACAACGAATTATACACAGTAAAACCGTGCTATCACTTTGCAAAAACGGTTTCTACCAGTGAAGGTCGCGCGTTTGACCAGTTCCCCACTGTACAGAAATACCGTGCTATCAATGGGTTCTACCAGTGAAGGTCGCGCGTATGACCAGTTCCCCACTGTACAGAAATCCCGTGCTATCAATGGTTTCTACCAGTGAAGGTCGCGCGTTTGACCAGTTCCCCACTGTACAGAAATACCGTGCTATCAATGGTTTCTACCAGTGAAGGTCGCGCGTATGACCAGTCCCCCACTGTACAGTAATCATTGGAATGATGAACGTGAGCGATTGCACCTTTAAAATGTGGTAATCGATGTAGTATGCCACAAATTAGTTACACTGAATCATAAAGATCTAAAATACGTAGAAAGAACGCACGTAGTTGAACATCTTGATTGCAAAAAGCCAAAAAGTAAATATTTAACTGCACTGTACAGCCATTTCGTCACTTTAGATGTACTTGGTGTGTAAGGATGCTATGTTAAATACGGTATAACTAATGTTTTTTGTGTGGAGATATCACCTTCTTAATACATTGATAACCTACTGATTAGTGTACCGTTATGTACTGTTCATAAACATGCATGTCACCAAATGACAAAGAAAAGAGAAAATTATTTTTCACGTATGAGATAGGACAGGAAGTGTACCACATGAACATGTAAAGAGAAATAAGAAAAAATGAGGAGATACCATAACAGTAAGAACGCACTTCCACAAAAATCTAGGTGAACAAGGCTATGCTACAAGATAATATAAATCATGATGCCGTCCGTCGAATCCTTTAGATATTGTAGACCACCCACGACTGATACCTAAGGGTTACTCATGTTATATTGTCGACAAGAGATGTGGGTTACACTCAAGCAGTACGTCTTCTGAAGTGAAAGAGTTATGACAATTGCTTCTAAACCGTTTCGAACGGGGGAATAAATTTATATTTAATACTTTAATGATCAATATCGGGTCAAGGAAAATCTATTCTGATTTCGCACGTTATAACGATAACATTAGTATTGTTGATCGCCAATAATGTATGCAAAAATCTATATCTGCATCAAGTTTGCCGTTTATACGTGTGCATTTGTATTGTACGATAATACACGTGTGTGCATGTATCATTTCCCAATAAATCATGCACATGCAACGCTCTTCCAAAACTTTCTCCTTGTTTCAAATATAAACAGTCGAGCAGTGAAAATGAAATACTTTTTCCAACAGGGAAACTCAATCAAATGTATATATTTAAAGTTTTTGTAACTAACAAATAAAAACACACCATTCAAACAAATACTGTCAAGCTCACGATTAGAATTTTCCACTGAACGCACCATGAAGCTGACTCTAGTATTTGATTGTAAGTTCAGTAAGTGTTTACGTATACTATAAACTTTATTTTACAACAAATATGAAACAACTTATTACAACTGAAATCAATCACTCTTGTCGGCCCGGATTATAGCGCGCCGGTGGTCTTAATATTGGAGGAAACCGGCGTATCTGAAGAAAACCAAAGTGATCGAGCAGGTGAAATTATATCTTTTCGAATCCGTTCGGGGAATCGAACCCCCGGTCGCCTTGGTGAAAGGCGAGTGCGTTATCCACTGCATCACCCAGGTGACCACACATTAAGTGTTTACTTAATTTGTTGACGAGCGATGTAGATTGATTGATGTTTTTGATTGATTGAAATAAACATCAGTGTTTATTGCCGCATTGAGAAACCAAATGAAAAACGTAAATGATTGGGTCTTTCATCAAGGCGCGATCTGCTAGGTTGTTGACTTTTACCAGATGAACTTATCTGACCTTTTGCGTCACGACGCATCTTCGTATATTTATGATAAATCAACAAATGATGAGGCATACATTGTATAGAATCCCTTCCAAACTATTAAATGCTTAATAGGAGTAATAAGACATCTGCCCACATCGTAAGAAATGAAACAAAATGCGACTTGTGAAGGTCAAAGCGACCTTCGTTATATATTTTCAAACACTTTCTCATCCTCATTATATATGAAATACGAACATATGTTGACTATTTCTTAACAATACTTTCGGGCGGTTTATCATTGATGCAAAATGCGTGTGCTTGCTTTTATCTCGGGTGAGTAGATCGTCTAATATGATTTAAAATGTCGTTTAAAAAAATAATTTCTCGAGTTCTGAGGTTCAATACATGAAGAAAACGACAAGAGTTTTATCATGGTCACTTACTACATTCTGACTTACTAAGCAATATCATGTTGGAGAGAAAAAAATATAAGCAGAATGAACTCGCTTAAAAATATACTTAGGACAATCAGTCCTTGACAACGATCTAAAGTACAGGGAACAAGATGTCATACATAGTATCTATTCGTAGATAAAACAACGATCTAAAGTACACGGAACAAGATGTCATACATAGTAACCATTCGTAGGTAAAACAAAGATCTACAGTACACGGAACAAGATGTCATACATAGTATCCATTCGTAGGCAAAACAACGATCTAATGCACCGGGAACAAGATGTCATACATATTATCAATTCGTAGGTAAAACAACGATCTAAAGTACACGGAACTAGATGTCATACATAGTAACCATTCGTAGGTAAAACAACGATCTAAAGTACAGGGAACAAGATGTCATACATAGTATCTATTCGTAGATAAAACAACGATCTAAAGTACACGGAACAAGATGTCATACATAGTAACCATTCGTAGGTAAAACAAAGATCTACAGTACACGGAACAAGATGTCATACATAGTATCCATTCGGAGGTAAAACATCGATCTAATGCACCGGGAACAAGATGTCATACATATTATCAATTCGTAGGTAAAACAACGATCTAAAGTACACGGAACTAGATGTCATACATAGTAACCATTCGTAGGTAAAACAACGATCTAAAGTACAGGGAACAAGATGTCATACATAGTATACATTCGTAGGTAAAACAACGATCTAAAGTACACGGAACTAGATGTCATACATAGTAACCATTCGTAGGTAAAACAACGATCTAAAGTACAGGGAACAAGATGTCATACATAGTATACATTCGTAGGTAAAACAACGATCTAAAGTACACGGAACAAGACGTCATCCATAGTATCCATTCGTAGGTAAAACAACGATCTAAAGTACAGCGGACAAGATGTATACATAGTATCCATTCGTAGGTAAAATAACGATCTAAAGTACAGCGGACAAGATGTCATACATAGTATCTATTCTGAGGTAAAACAACGATCTAATGTACCGGGAACAAGATGTCATACATAGTATCCATTCGTAGATAAAAAACAACGATCTAAAGTACACGGAACAAGATGTCATACATAGTAACCATTCGTAGGTAAAACAACGATCTAAAGTACACGGAACAAGACGTCATCCATAGTATCCATTCGTAGGTAAAACAACGATCTAAGGTACACAGAACTAGATGTCATACATAGTATCCATTCTGAGGTAAAACAACGATCTAATGTACCGGGAACAAGATGTCATACATATTATCAATTCGTAGGTAAAACAACGATCTAAAGTACACGGAACTAGATGTCATACATAGTAACCATTCGTAGGTAAAACAACGATCTAAAGTACACGGAACAAGATGTCATACATAGTATCCATTCGGAGGTAAAACATCGATCTAATGTACCGGGAACAAGATGTCATACATATTATCAATTCGTAGGTAAAACAACGATCTAAAGTACAGGGAACAAGATGTCATACATAGTATCCATTCGTAGATAAAAAACAACGATCTAAAGTACACGGAACAAGATGTCATACATATGATCAATTCGTAGGTAAAACAACGATCTAAAGTACAGGGAACAAGATGTCATACATAGTATCTATTCGTAGGTAGAGCAACATCTGGTAAAGATTCAATGTATGAATATGAAGGAAAGAAACATCTTTTCAAGTTCTGGTAGATAAAACATATGATATTGTTTTATAGTATATTTAAGTGGTATGTTTTTGTTATCCGGAGAAAAATATTATCCACATATATGAATGTTTGCGATGTCTTTGACCTCCATTGTGGTTCTAAGTTGCAGGGTCGATGTTGTTCTTTTTAGATGGAATCTGATAACATTGGTCTCCCATTTTCCTCCCACTTAAATTTGAGATTTCGTGTAGGACCGCCTGTGCGTGAACACAATCAGAAAAACTGTATTACACTGTTCACGTTGTATTATATTAACCATTGTTGCCAGTGTTAATCCTATGTGGCTCTCTCTTGATGATCTGTTCATCTTCTCTTAGATCTCATTAAGCGGTTAGTACTTCAGTCGGTGTTCAATTATGTCCTCACAATTCCGATGCTTTATTGACCACGTATATTTGTCAACAAAAAGTAGTAAAACAACATATCTACGAATTATTTTTCATTTGATTTGAAAACTAGTGCGCATCAAAAGAAAATATAAAATTTCAGGGCCCCATCGTTTTTCAGACTGCTAACAAATTAAAGTCAAAATGCCAGAATGATTATTCCACATGTTTGGTACACTCAAAGAAGTTGGATAGTGATTCGTTCTTGTTTCCTACAATACTAAATAACTGTCTAACTGGTTCGCTTAAACGAATGGTTGCATTTCATTTCGCAGATCGGTTTGTTTTTAGCAACCCAACTGCAACGCTCTGTTAAATGGGACACATTATAGATTAATGCTCGGCTATTTATATTTAGAATATCTGTGCACGCATGTTTGTTGTGACACGCCCATATCCATCAGTCATGCCACTTGACATAAAAGCTGTTTTATTACAATGTCACACATAACTAACTACTGGTATTTCTAGACCTTCCCTGCGGCAATGTCAGTGATACGTAAACGTCATGATGAGAACATTAGCGTGTTCATACGATCCAGGACAACTTCATTTGGAGCACATTCGGCTAAATCGTTTTACAGCTCGGTCGTTAGGAGAATTTTGACGACAAAATACTCCGTATGTCGTGTAATATTTATCGGATAAGTAGTTGAAAAAAAAGGTGCAGCTGGACCATTTTTTTCATTTATACGGCAGAGCAATTACTATAACTATTTTGTGAATACGGCGTAAACACGAACTGTATCATATCCCGAACAACTCTCCTAAAGAGTTAGTAAACACGAAAATAAACATCTTGCTAATTACCAGTGATTAACAACAACAAAAATACAATATTATTTCATGTTTGTATACTTTTCTTTGCAAAATTTCTAATCCTATACTGAAATTATACTGGATAATATTTCTGTGGGATTTGTGAAAAAAATAAAGAGAACTTTCTGTTATATGAAATTATCATGTGCAATGAGTAAAAACATTATTTTGGTGTTGGTATTGGTGTTGTTGTTTGGCTTTTTCAAGAAACTGTATTGCATAGTATCACATATGCTGTAATGTATTATCCAATCGCTGAATAAATTATACAGTATTTTATATTATAATTGATGGATCTTGTAATCGTCTACTGTAAATTTACATGAAACGTTAGTTACTTGTAATTTTACACATACACTTTCATCATTTTGGACAATTAAGTTCGAGATAATCACGAGATTTCCTAAATTACTAATTTACAATCCAATTAAGTAATGAACTTCCATAAAATATAAACGATTTGGGGACAAATAGTAATAACGAAATCGGTCAGCACGGCTACTGACATTTATTCGACCTATTTCTGTGGGGGAAATGTAAAGAGAAATACTTTCTGTTCTATGCAATTAACATGTGCATTCAGTAAAAAGCATTCTTTTGGTGTTGTTGTTGTTGTTGTTGGGTTAATTTTCAAGAAACTGTATTGTATATCCAATCGCTGAATAAAATATATTGTATTTTATATCATAAATGCTGGATCTTGTAATCGTCTGTTGTAAAACAATGATTATATATGATGGCAGTATTTACATGTTTACAACGTTGGTATTTTGTTATTTTATATTTACATTTTCATCATTTTGAACCAATAAAATCGAGATAATAACGAGATTCCCTTAAAACTAATAACGATCCAATGAAGTAATAAACTTCGATGAAATATAAACGATTTGGGGACGAATAGTAGTAACGAAATCGGTCAGCACGGCTACTGACACTCAATGGACATACTCAAGTAGTTAGTGGAGGCAGAACACGTCCGCAATGGTAAATAGAAAACAAACAATAGTCAGCTCTGTTTTATTTCAGTTTATTTTCAATTCATGTGTAAATATAATGGACAGTAGAATAACAAACAACAGACACAGCATGACAGGAAAGAATATGCAATACAAATAATAGTCACAAAACATTATTAGTCATTTTATTATTAGAGACGGTATGTACAGGTTTAACAATTTTACGAGTATATGAGTAACCCAAATCGAGTATACTATAAACAATATGAAAAACAATATACTAATTAAAAATTGAGGTCAATGCGTATTTTCACCAGTTAAGAATTATTATTTTTTATATATATTTGGTTAATTAAGTTTCCTTATGTTAATAATACAATACATTCACCTCATCAAAAAGCTATGATTGTATAAGTGTAGCAACATAAAAGAGTTACAAAATAAAATATGCTAAAATAAGTCATTTGTTTTTAGAGGTCTGTAAAAAACGGATCAAGTATCTATTATTTGAATAAGCATGTATAACTCAGGATGTATACATAAAGAGACATACATATATATTGATGCGTAAATATGCAATGTTCGGATAGAACGTGTGACAGTAAATGGTTGAAATAAAAGTATCACTTACGCACTAATTAAGTATATTGAGGCTAATAAAGGGACATGTCACAGTGTATACATCCCTTTTAGTTTCAAGAAATTGTATACAATAAATATTTGCTAAATACTAGTATTCAAATATTGAAATGAACTAAATGGCATGTAATGTTGAAGGTGAACAAATATATGCTTGTAGAGGTGTAACAGTAGCCTGGTGAGCATCTCGAGCGAATTGGATTAGTTATGATGTATTCCCTTATATGGTCTTGTTTTATTTGATCAACCAATAATCATCAGTTCAATGAGGAACCTTAGGCATGCTAAACTAGCCAAATGGGTGAAGGAAAACAATGACTTTTATAACTACTTGTGTTGAAAATGTTATTATATTTCGGATGTCCTTGACTTGTATGTTTAAATATTACCTTTCAGAAAGAAAAAATCTTACTGTCTTGATTTTAACATTTGAAATAAAGCTCTTTGGTTTGTTTTCTACAGATTTATGGACAATCGCCGTACTTGCTTTTGTCTTCCGCTGTGAATACATTTGAGCGGGATAACTCATAATTGTCTATGCTAAGGTATTAATGACTTATACTTGGCCACCACACATCAGTATATACAGGCCATTTATCTAGATGTGGTTTCAAGCATAATTGATAGATACGGGGTCCTGGGGCGGCCTTATAATGGCGACAGCTGTCCGTTTCTGAGGACGTTAAAACGTATGTGTTCTGTGATTGTTGTTTCTGTCAATCACGATGACATGTTTTTACCTACCACTGTTATTGTATACAAATGAACAAATATCACAATATCGTTGGCATTGTTGATACATATGTGTGTATTGTAAATGAATGGTTAGACGGTAGATATCATTTCACTTTTACAAGAATATCAACATACTAATTCACACATTTGTCCTACATTTATTGATACATGTATTTATGTAAAATAGCTAGAAAGCTGATTTGCTAAAACAAAATATCACCAACATACCCTGTCTCCTACATACACGCACACAAACACGCATACACTACACACATGGAGGCACGTTTTAAATGACATTAGCTGTTAATAGGACGTACAACATAATTAAACCAAACCAATGCTCAAAAATGCATTTGTCTGTTTGTTAAAATACAATCATAGAAGCAACCAAACCGTAACATACCAGATGGTCAAATTAAATCATATTTGTTTGGAGCTTATAATATATCCAAACAATGGATAACGTTATCTTTAAATTACTTCAATGTAAGCATCCACACAATTAAATACTGCATATCATTTTATTCTTATGGCTTTACTTGCAACCTAGTCGAAACGAGACAAACACATTTGTGACATTCATCTCACACGAATGTTTTTGCATTCCAAACTTGTTGCATCATTATGTTTACGAATTCGGATTTCCAAACGCTAAGTATACGGTTTATCCTCAAATGACACAAATATTTGCTTTGTGGGAAATCATCTTTAGCAAAAGAAAAACCCATTAGTGAGGTAAGCATTTAGGAAATCACGAGCGATGCGAAAATAATGAGAAACAGTTTTATGTTTTAAACAAACGGTAACTTTAAACTACATTTAATATTTATAACAGCGAGTATTTATTTCCCTCCAAGAAGAGCCCCTATACCTCCTAGAAGTAGTCCTTGAACGAGAGTCTTGATTGGGTTATTCCGTCGTCGTTGCTGAAGGGGTGGCGGTGGATGGTGTGTCCGACTCGTACCTACAACTTTCAACACTTTGTCGTCAAGATGGAAATGATCCCCATGCGAGATTATCTTCCCATTAGTGTCACCAATTCCTCCTTTGCTGTTTAGAATTTTATTCTTTATAATCTTCTCTCTTTGCCTGGCCTTGAGTGCTTTTTTAAGTTTCTTTGTGACAATTTTGTTTTTCACTAGCTCACCCTTTACAGCTTCGATGCCGTGATGATCATCAAGGCCATGGTGGTGATCGTGTCCAGCTATTCCTATTACACCTGGCCCGATGGAATCAAATGGGTCAATTCCGGGGCCAACAGGTTCTAGTCCAGGCCCATCAGGTCCTAGTCCGAGGCCAACAGGTCCTAATCCGAGGCCAACAGGTCCTAGTCCAGTCCCAACAGGTCCTAGGCCGAGGCCAACAGGTCCCAGTCCGGGGCCAACAGACCCAATTAGACCATCATCTGGTAAAATTCGTACCATACCAGGCACTCGAGGGCGCCCTGAGAGAGCCGCTTCAGCAAGTGACGGACCATTCAGACCTCTTCCTTGGAGGGTAGGGTCAAGAAAGCCACGCCCTGTGAGTGTGGGATCCTGAAATCCCCTGCCCTGGAGAGTAGGGTCAATAAACCCTGTCCCTTGCAGAGTCGGATCCCCCAATCTTCCGAGGTTGGGGTTGACGAGAGTAGGATTCATGAGACCCCTGTTAACAAGCCCCCTTGTAAGACTCCCGGGAATCTCCATGTTGCCAGGAAGACTCGCTAAAGAGTTGGCTGCACCAGAATCGCGAATGCTACCAAAGCGACCACCGCGATTCACGGGAAGTAATTGGTCTACCGTTAGTCCGGGTGCAATCAATTGTTCCGGTGTGAAACCGAAATCGAATCTATTACCAAATCCATCTCCACCCGTGAGGCCCCGGCGTACTTGTGCGGCGGTTGCTAGTTCTCGCTGGACGTCAGGTGGAGGTGTCCATCCTCTACCGATTAGACTCTCGAGAAGCCTTTCCTGCCTGGCGGCTGAACCTCCCATCTGACCCCAGTTGGGGGTGACAGAAGATTGAAATCCCTGTCCATTGATACCTAAAACAGTAAGATAATTGTTAATATCCTAATGTCCGAGATATGCATGTAAACCTTCACCTTTCCTGTGACGCAGGCGCTTGAATTTATAATAGTAGCATGGAATTATCAAAGAGAGTCTAGATAATTTTATATCCATATCTTATAATTTGTATTGTTGTTTTAGCGGTTTTACTCATCTTTTTACAAATGTACCGATATAAGAGCGTCATGTATCAGTGATATTAACCATTTCAGTTTGGAACGCTTGCATAAATGTTAAATGGTACACTAATTACACTCAACAATTGTAATGGCGTTATAAATAAGTTGTTAAATAATTCGAGGCGTTAATTTCTAGTTTTTAAATGGTGAGTTTAGCCTCAGTGCCGGATTTCGGATTTGTTGCCCCTGTGACTATCCAATAAAATGGCTTATAGGAAGATAATCAACATAAATGTTTCGGTGTAATAGTTTTACAAAGGGATTATTGTAAAATATTTTTATTTCGTACGATTTTTATTGTTCAAATAGTTCACATATTATTCGTGTCCAACGTTGATTAAATGCGATTCGTGTCTTACCGGTATATATATATTATATGTACTTACATGGTAGAACAAGAAGCAGGATGACCCGTAGCATAACCTCTCCGATAGCACAGTGTTGTCTGTAAAACAAAACAGAACATGATTACAGCTAGGAAACAAACAGTACTTAGATTATATGTTGTTTCTAGATGAATTAATATGACCCCTCAGATCAAATAAGGGGAATTTGATTCACGTAACCGCTCAGACCAAATAAGGGGAATTTGATTCATGTAACCGCTCAGACCAAATAAGGGTGATTTGATCCACGTAACCGCTCAGACCAATTAAGGGGAATTTGATTCATGTAACCGCTCAGTCCAAATAAGGGTGATTTGATCCACGTAACCGCTCAGTCCAAATAAGGGTGATTTGATCCACGTAACCGCTCAGTCCAAATAAGGGTGATTTGATCCACGTAACCGCTCAGACAAAATAAGGGGAATTTGATTCATGTAACCCCTCAGACAAAATAAGGGGAATTTGATTCACGTAACCGCTCAGACAAAATAAGGGGAATTTGATTCACGTAACCGCTCAGACCAAATAAGGGAGATTTGATTCACGTGAAACCGCTGAGACCAAATAAGGGTGATTTGATCCACGTAACCGCTCAGTCCAAATAAGGGTGATTTGATCCACGTAACCGCTCAGTCCAAATAAGGGTGATTTGATCCACGTAACCGCTCAGACCAAATAAGGGCGATTTGATCCACGTAACCGCTCAGACCAAATAAGGGTGATTTGATCAACGTAACCGCTCAGACCAAATAAGGGTGATTTGATTCACGTAACCGCTCAGACCAAATAAGGGTGATTTGATCCACGTAACCGCTCAGTCCAAATAAGGGTGATTTGATCCACGTAACCGCTCAGACAAAATAAGGGGAATTTGATTCATGTAACCCCTCAGACAAAATAAGGGGAATTTGATTCACGCTACCGCTCAGACCAAATCAGGGTGATTTGATCCACGTAACCGCTCAGACCAATTAAGGGGAATTTGATTCATGTAACCGCTCAGTCCAAATAAGGGTGATTTGATCCACGTAACCGCTCAGTCCAAATAAGGGTGATTTGATCCACGTAACCGCTCAGACCAAATAAGGGGAATTTGATTCATGTAACCGCTCAGTCCAAATAAGGGTGATTTGATCCACGTAACCGCTCAGACCAAATAAGGGGAATTTGATTCACGAAACCGCTCAGACCAAATAAGGGTGATTTGATCCACATAACCGCTCAGACAAAATAAGGGGAATTCGATTCACGTAACTGCTCAGACCAAATAAGGGTGATTTGATTCACGTAACCGCTCAGACAAAATAAGGGGAATTTGATTCACGCTACCGCTCAGACCAAATCAGGGTGATTTGATCCACGTAACCGCTCAGACAAAATAAGGGGAATTTGATTCACGTAACCGCTCAGACCAAATAAGGGAGATTTGATTCACGTAACCGCTCAGACCAAATAAGGGGAATTCGATTCATGTAACCACTCAGACCAAATAAGGGGAATTTGATTCACGTAACCGCTCAGACCAAATAAGGGGAATTTAATTCACGTAACCGCTCAGACCAAATAAGGGTGATTTGATCCACTATCCCTTCAGACCTAATGAGGAAATTGATCTATGTGATGTCTCAGACCAAATAAGGGAGTTGGTACAAGTGACCTTTCAGACCAAATAAGTGGGATTGGATTTCGTAACCACCCAGACTAACAAAGGAGATTTGTTCCATGCTACATGTAGACCCAATAAGTAGGATAAGTGGAAAAGTAATTGTCATTTAATCACACTCTGAAGAAACGAAACATATAAACGGTATAGCCTGCTGTGATGTGTATTAATAGCTCAAATGTTTTCATTTCAGTGTCAAAAACATACTCAATCAAAAAGGTGCATGAATCGTTTAGTATGTCTAGCCGAGTGCTAACCTGCTCATACACTTTATCAATCGGTCATTAAATACATTATTAAAATGAGTTTCGTTCGTTTTATTCTAATAAGCATCCAATCAATCACTTGTATAAAATTCCACTTTTCAAATTATCTTCAGTAAGGTAATGCACATAATTTGCTTTTCATATATGTAATAGAGCAATTTTACAATTATAAATGTTATAATAAAATATATATGATAAAATTGTGTGCTGATACAAATGTATATGATAAAACTTGTTACATAAATATACATACGTATTATGTTCCTTCTCGAAATAATTGTTAAAAAATAATTTTAAAGTTTGCTTGCTTGAACTCGGATTATATGTAAGGTGGGTTTTTTACCTACATATACCTGTATAGCAGTACATGCAGATAAGCGTATATCCACATATTTATCATCAAATGGTATCGTACCTGAATTTATTTACCGAGGGTAATTAAGACAAAGACATATGATTGATTTTGACAAAATATACATCGGGGCAATGATTCATCTTCATAGAATGTAACTGACATACATCATTACAACAGCAGACACACAGGTGGGGTGTATGTGACACTGGTAGGTTTACGTTTCGCCATGCATGGCTGTACAAAATCTCCGCGGTTTCTTGAAGAGTTATTTAATTATATAAATAACTATTTTACGGTCATAGTTGAAACCCTGTGCGTTAAGTTTAAAATAAGGTTATATATGGTGTGTTTTTTATAATTGTGAGTGGTTGACTTATCTTACAAAAGTCCAGTATTTACAGGGCATTATACAAAATAACATTACACAACTTTACACACACACACAACACAATTACAAATAGACACAGTACCATATGTTTGGAGAGTACAACCACGGAATTAGATATCTAAGTCCGTGGTACAACTAAACTATTTATGATAATGGGATCTTCTCGAATTTGCACATTTGATATATTTCCCTTAGTTCGTCATTTCTTTTGTATTTTTTAACTCAGTAGTCCTATCAGTTTAAACATGCTTGGCGTTTTAATGTTATAAGTTTTCAAAAACTCGCAAATTAGAATAACATGGGTATTTAAGAATAAAATGAAACTTATCTTCAACATCATCTAGATTGCATAAATTACACACCCGCCGATTCCGCTCAATGTTTTGATATCGCCCTTTTCTTACATTTAAGTTATGAGAAGATAATTTTATTTTTGTAATTTCTTTCAGATATTCTTTTGGTATGGGTTTACGCAGGTGGTTTTGTTTATCAAAATTATCCTAAAGATATTTATAAACATTTGCTTTTGAGGTTATTCTATATTTCTCTGCACTTTATTCTCTAAAAATACCAATTAATCTTTCTTTAATTAATGAATAAAACTTGTTGTCGTTAATATCATGTTTCTGAAAATATCCCGTATAGCTCATCTTTGATGTTCATCCACCATTTATGCCTATTCTCTACCATTTCATTGTAACATCTAAATTTAGACTTAATGTTTTATGAAGGTTTTTGGTGAGGCTTGAAACAACAGTCCTCATCTGCATGAATACAAAAAAAAATCACAGTAAAAATTGGAAAGAAAACATATTAAGTGCAAAACATCTACAGGTCGTTAAAAATCGTTTTTATAAATACAAAGTGTAAATTTTCTCTATTATGGACTTTTCGGCATGCTGCACATGCGTGTAAGCGTTTAGACATCAACCTTGTAACTCGCTGTAAACACTCATAATACCCTAATGTCACCAAACAATAAATAAAACCAAAGATCTTTACCGGGGACCTAAAGCATTGTCATCTTACCTATTACTTAGGTCCGTATTCCTGAGAAATTCTGGTGAGTTTGATTACTGAACCAGCTATCACCACAGATTGTGAGAGTTAGACCCCAGTGTTTGGCCTGAAACCTATTTATAGTCCCGTCCAGGTAGTTCCTGGTAAGTTTTATGTCACGATGTCAACCAATTGTCTCCTGTTATATCTTAGTGACGTCACGTTGGTCAGTTAATTGATGTTGTACACTGTCGTTGCTAATAAATACAGCTTATGTATGTATCTGTCTAGCAGTAAATGACGCGTGTCCAGTTAGGAGACAATTGTTGTCGTCAGTTGTAAGGAAATAAGTGTGACCCTTAGTCTGGTCATTATGATATACACATAGTGTGCAGATGATAAAACGTCAAGGAAGTATTGGACGATGAACCGAGTAAACGTTTGAGAAATCCGTTTACTAAGTTACAACGATTGTTTTAAACATTGGGAGTCTTTGTTTGAGTTGCCATCTGCATATAATTAAAGAGTTTAAATAACTCAGCATAACATGTCATTTAAAACGACACGAACACAGCAACGGTCCCATAATTGCGCCCTGTGGAACCCCTTTGGACACTTCCAGGCAACCGCTGTCGTCAGAATAATTAGAATAGAGTACGGACAAGAATATCCAGAAGTCTATTTTTATATAAAAAAAGGAATGTATACTTATTTGTTAAGATATATGTATGACGAATACTGATACTTGATCGAATATTTTTATCAGTGTGTACATTATTTAAATGCGATTCTAGACGCCCATGTACATTGTATGTATATATATATATTTATGTTAATGTCATAAAATCTTGGAAAGTATAATAATAAAAAAACACTGCTGTCGTCTGTTACCCAATGTCAGCTGCCCGTACTTTAGGAGCCTCTTCTCAGCTCCATGAGCATCCAGCTTTCAAAGAGAACTGTCATGAAGAAACGAAGAAAACAGTCAGAGGCCTCAGAGGTCAAAGGGGATATCAGCTACATGAAAGTACCAGCTTTCACGTAGCTGGTATCCCTTTAACAGCGTTAAAGGGATTCATTCGTTGCTAAATTATTTAAGACATTGGCAACACATTACTCTTTGGCGAATAAACGGATAAACGATTTGACGTTATCCGGAAGGTCGTATGACAGAAGAAATTGGTCCTATTACTATATTAAATGATAATAAAGGCTTTGTTTATTATTGATAACATATTGAGCATGAAGCTCATCTTATATATGGTCAAGATACAATGTTTGATAAAATGTAAAATATTTACAGCTTTAAGAAATATACATGCATAAAATACAGGAAAAGGGAAAATCATTTCAAATGAAATTGCTATGCAGATTGCTTAAATTCTAAAAGTGAGGTACAATTTTTAATATGACTTGGTAAAAGTCCTTGTAAGTGGCCCCTGATATCTAAAAGATTTTCTGAAAAAAAATGCCTTATGACAAGAAAAATTCACCAATTTAGTTGTTTTTTTAAATATCACAGGAAGGTTTGGAAAAATCACATTTTAAAATAATTCTGGCTGCTCTCTTTTGCAGCTGTTCTAATTTTACAATATTATCTTTTGAACTGTTACCCGAAACAATAGAGCAATAATCCAGATGTGGGTTTACAAAGCGATTAAGAAAAGTCAAAAGTCATACAAGATGCAGGACTGGCTCAAGTATAGTCTCTACTTTTTCATCTGAAAAATTTGATATGATATCTTTTTACAGACATTTATAAGTTGAATGTTCAAAGAGAGACAATCATCTATGGACACTCACAAGAATTTTTCAAATTTTACATTTTCAATGTTTACATTGTTGATAACAACGGACAATTCTTCTTTCAATTTACATTTTCTCTGCGAAGTAGTAAAAAGCATGATTTTGTTTTTTCTGTGTTTACATACATTTTGTTTTCATCGCACCATTTTGACACTAATTTTGCATCAGCATCGATGTGGTTATTTACAATGTTAAATGATTTTCCCCGCGATTGTGCTGCGTTGTCATCAGCGTATATACACAAATAACTTTGATTTGTAATCAGGGGCAGGTCATTTACATGTAAAATGAACAAAAGTGGTCCCAATATTAACCCTTGAGGGGCACCGACTGTAAAAGGGAGATAATCACTCAAACTCAACTATATATCAATGTATTGCGGACATTGTAAGTCTTGTCAAAGCTGTCCATATTTAACAACATCAGCCCGCTCGATTTAGGTCAATCCCGAAACAAATAACGAACGATTTTCGATAATGATGCCGAATGATGTTAGAAGGTCTCTAACTAGAAGGAGCATGTGGAATTTCTTATTTAGACGATGCTGCATAGAACCCGGCATTGTATATTGACTCCACTGGAAATATAAGATTTAAGGCAACACATTTCTTTTCAGTAAATTAGCCATGCTTTAACTTAAAAATATTTTAACGCTAAACAATTAACTCTTCAATCATGCATTTCATTAATTAACTTTTGCGTGAAAATTTCAATTAGTGTATTTTGGAATATTATGTAACATTATATACCAGATATGTGCCTTTTTTGTTGTTTTACAAGGAATTAAATACTCTTATGTGATAAAACGAAGTCTGAAATTATGCCTTTTATGAACGTCTTTCACAATGATAATAATGTATAGACACTGCGAATAGGGATTTGTTTCGCACATCGAATGCACCTAAAATTGTGTGATCATTTGTGCGTTTGATTGTGAGGCGACCTAAAAACGAAAAAGTTCAAGCTTTATATTGACTTTGATCTCGGGAAGCGGGTGTAGATTTTAGTAAGAAAGTAAGTGTTAAAAGCATTATCACCTATCTGATGTCTTATTTTGTGTGTCTAATTTTAATGAATGTATTGTAGTAATTTGATTTTTTTCGAATGTCAAACTGATTGAAATGAAAGGAATATTTGAAGATTCACAGGACATATAGGATATATGTACATATTATATCATCTGATCATAACAGTTAACTAACTCCTATGTATGTAACCTTCTGTTGTAAATTGATCTATTATAGCGTGTTGGAACCAGATCACATTGCAAGACTGAGCATATTTAAGATGTTCTAAACTGCTATATGCTACTTTTAGTTTTATGATGGCCTTGACCCCGTCGTTCCAGTATTGAGTATACCGGTACTCCAACAATGTTAGAGGTTGTTACATTGTATTTACAGAAAGTCATATCGTTTTCTTCATATTTGATATCTGAAATTTTCTCATGATCATATATGGAAAAACAGCGACTTTCTTAGACATGGGATCTCATAGAAATCCGATAATGAAAAAGCAAATAACCAGAACTTCAACCTATTTGAGAAAAAAAAAAAAAAAAAAAAAAAACTATTGAAAGATGCTAGTTATAATTTCTTCTTCTTCCTGATACAAGTCATACTCAACTTGAGTGTAATTGACTCGGTGCAGCTTAAAACAAGGCAAAGGAGAACGGTTAATCTAAAAGTTAAAACTATGTACACTGGGTTAAAGATGGTACTTTGGTGTGACTGGGGCCAGGGGATGGTGCTCAACCTGGCCTTGAAGTCTTCCAAAGTTGTTGCCTGCACAACTTGTTCTGGTAGTTTGTTCCATTCCCTGGTGGATTTTGAGAGGAATGAGTGGTACAAGATGTTCTTCGCTCTGTCCTGTCGTAGTTTGTGATACCCTCGAGTTCTTCTGTCACCTGCTGTGTAAATATACTGCTGGGTTAACTGCTATCAGATGATGTTGGATTTTGTAGCATGTTGTTAATGTCTGTTTTAATCAATGATATTGTAACGATATTGGTTACTGAGAGGGCGTAGTTTGGTGTTCATCCATGGGTGACTTTGTCGTGCAAGGGTTCGTTTTGTAGGAACATGTTCTTCAATTGAGTCTCTTGACATCTGCTTGATTGTTGTCCACATACTGTTAACTTCTCTGTAGACTGTGATGTTGAAGGTTTGGTATTGTGAATCAATGAATGTCCTTATAAATGTACACTCAAGGTTTGATCTCTTCCATAGAAGGATTTTCCTTCTGGCTGGTTTGGGCTTGCGAGTGTTTGCTGCAATGTCAGTAAGGACCATATCATGATCACTGTTTCCTATTGTGGTAATGTTTTACATCTCTCTGTATGTCCAGGATGGCTAGTAAACAGTAAGTCCAATATGTTGTTACCATGAGTAGAATGGTTGTTGACCTGTTGAATCGATAGACCAGCTGCTGCCATCTTGAGGAATTCTCTATTAATTGTGGTAGTTGGTGTCCACCGAGGTTGTTATTTCTCCAATCAATATCGGGTAAGGTTAAAATCTCTGAGGAGTATGACGATGCCTCTCTTGAATTTGTTCCTCACACTTCTTATTTCTGATACGATGTCCTCGACATATTTTGTATCTAAATGTTTGTTTGGTGATTATGAATTGCTTATTACCAACTTTGATGTTCCAAGTAATTATTTCAGTCTGTTTCAAAAATATCAAACAGTTAAATTGCATACCATGTTAATTTAAAATTTGATCTTCATGTTTCCTTTGTTCCTTGATATAGCTACAGTCTATCATAGGTATGTGTATTTGGTCACACATCTACAACAGAATTAGTACTTATATTTATACCAGGCCTCCTCTACCCCGTCGGAAAATTATATATTAATCGCCTCGTCATCAGAAGCTACGTTATCGCAGCTAGTACAACAGATTGCGAGATTTGTCAATTCGTATATCCATCCGGGGACAAAAATATTCCATTTTACAGAGACATTCCAGAATAAAAAAACAATGTGAATTGAACAACTAACCATGCAAGTTAATGAATATTATATTTAATGTATAATTTTGGACTCAGGATTACTTTTTTTTCTCTTCAGAGGACGGTCACTATCAATATCATTATTGGTATAGTAGCAGTAAACACTAATGGGGAGATATTCTGACAGTGATGACGACAAAAAAAAGAGAAGGAAGAAAAAGAAGAAGAGATCAAGATCAAGGTAATGTAAAGCTAATATAACAGATATATTTTTGCCACTATTTGTATCTCCTTTCACTAACAGGACAATATATACAAACTACAGAAATATCCATACGGAAGGCAAGATACTTAAGTTAGCAGTGCTTGTGTAGTAGCTGAAAAATTAAACTCCCCCTGAAGCAAGAAACAGTTAGACCTAAAAAGCTAATACCAATATTGCAGAATAAATAAACATGTCCCAATTGTCATATATTGGGTAGCCTATTAAAAGTTGTCTTGTCTTCCCATTACTCCAAACCCCCAATTCAAGAGCACAGGAGTTTATAGCTAATTCTTCAGTGGATTTAACATCAGTTGAATTGCCACATAATGATCATGCAGTGTAACATTAAAACTAAAACTTTAGCCCTTTCACCACTGTAGACCATAATGGACTCATCCAGATCAATGCATGGTAGAGTCTACTAAAGTTACATAGGGGTGAAAGGGTTAATGTACATTTGTTTTTACTTTTTCTTTTCTTCTTCAGATCAATAAGTAGCACAGAGAGTGGCTATAGGCATAAGAAGAGTAAATCATCTAAATCAAGAAGAAGATCGAGATCTGTTTCAAAAGGGAGAGACAGAAGGTCAAGGTCACGAAGCAGAAATCGGCGTCGGAAATCAAGAAGCGTAGACCGTTATTCGAGGTCAAAAAGTAGAGAGAAATATTCTAGCAGGAGAAGATCCAGATCCGACAGTAGAAGTCGCAGTTACAGATCAGGGCGTTCAAGGTCAAGAGAGAGGTATCAGAGGTCAAGGTCAAGAACTCCTGACAAATATAAATCAAAATCAAAAAGGTAACTGATTTTAAAACCCATAAATGACCATGTTTAAGTGTTAGTATATATGGATTATATGTTATTTCAAATACCTTAAAATTAATTAAATGTATAAGTTTATGTACCAAGTAACATCTATATGTACTTAAACATTAATTAAACATATGTTCTTTGGTTCCAAATATTAAATGTTTTCAAAATTAAGAAATAGGTTTGAACCAGACAACTTTTGGCCCCAGATAAGAATTTATACCAATTATTGGGAAAGGATTGTAGGTTAAATGTATACAGGATGAATACAGTTATATATTTTAACACATTGATGTGGAACCGATTATGAATTACCGTAAAAACCCATGTAATTTGCGCACTTTTTTTTCAGAAATTTAATACCCAAAGTGGGGGGTGCGTAAAATACACAGGTATAGAAAATTTCAAGTTTTTTTCAGGAAAAGATCGACGATTCTGGGAGATCGCCATCTTGGATTATTTCCCTTATTTATTATACACGGAACTCTAAGACAAATGACGGTCAACAAATTTATTTATGTCAAACATTAATAAAAGATACATAATGTGTTGTTATGTGAGTTTATGTGAAAAGTATTATTAAATAGGTAACCGTTAACAAAAAAAGTTTAGCCAAATTCCTATGCCAGAGAATCGCCGATCAACTTACGACATTACGTTTCGACATCTCGGTGCGTTTCCCCATACTATTACGAAAATGTAGTTGTTCAATTTAAGCTCCGTTCCATGTAAGTT